AATAAGTGTGGGGAAAGAATACAACCCTGATACACTCCCTTCCTGATTTTAAACCATGTAGTGTCCCCTTGTTCTGTTCAAACAACAGCCTCCTGGTCAAGGTACAGGTTCCTCATGAGTACAATCAAGTGTTCGGGAATTCCCATTCTTCTCAATTGGCTCCCATGGCTTGTTTTAATTGTCTTCAGCTTCAACTTGACCTTGCATATGAGCAGTTGATGGTCTGTTCCCCAGTGAGCTCCTGGTCTTGTTTTTGCTGAAGATACTGAGCTTCTCCATCACCTCTTTCCACAGATGTAGTCAATCTGATTCCTGTGTATACCATCTGGTGAAGTCCACATTTATAACTGCCATTTATGTTGTTGGAAAAAAAGGTATTCATAATGAATGTCAGTGATCTTGCAAAATTCTATCACGTGGTCTCTGGTGTCATTTCTATCACCAAGGCCATATTTTCCACCTACCAGTGAGTCTCCTTTGTCTCCAACTTTTGCATTCCAATCACCAGTAATAATCAATACATTTTGGTTGCATTTCTGGTCAACTTCAGACTGCAGAAGTTGGTAAAAATCTTCCATGTCCTCATCTTTGGCTTTGGTGGTTGGTGCGTAAATTTGAATAATAGTACTATTAACTGGTTTTCCTTGTAGGCATATGGATTTTGTACTTCAGGATAGTTCTTGAAACATTCTTTGTGATGATGAATGCCACACCATTCCTCTTCAATTTGTCATTCCTGGCTTAGTAGATTATATGATTGCTGATTCAAAATGGCCAAAACTGGTCCACTTCAGCTCACTAATGCCTAGGATATCAATCTTCATGCATTCCACCTCATTTTTGACAACTTCCAATTTCCTAGATTCATACTTTATACATTCCATGTTCCAATTATTAATGCAATTAATAATTAACAGTTAATTAAACATCTGTAAATGCAGACATTTCTTCCCATTTTGAATCATTAGCAAATGAAGGTACCAAAAGCTTTACTCCACCAAGGTTATTAGGGACAACTCTACTTTAAGGAGGCAGCTCTTCCCCAGTCATATTTTGAGTGCCTTCTCATCTAAGGGGCTCATATTTCAGCACTATATCACACAATGTTTCAGGTCTTTTCATAAAGTTTTCCAGTAATATGTCAGTGTTTCACTGCTATTCATAAGCAATACTTTGAGAAGTGGATGGTCCTTTCTTTCTTCTGGGTCTGTCTTAGTCTGCAAACTTTGCTGAAACCTGTCCACCATTAGTGACCCAGCTGGTATTTGAAATACCAGTGGCATAGCCTCCAGCCTCACAGCAACACACTGGCCACCACAGTACAACAAACTGATAGACAAGTTCATAACCATAAGGGATTTTAATTCTTCATAGTTTCCTTCTCATATTTTGGTATCACTGTTATGCTAGCTATATAAAATGATGGAAAATGTATATATTTTTTGTATTCTCTGTGAGAATATATATTGCTCTGTGAGAAGATTATTAACTACTGGGTCCATTGTTCTAATGGTTATAAGACTGCTTGATTTGCCTATTTCTTCTCAACTCAAAGTTTTTCTAGGAAATGATCAATCTATCCAAATGTTTCAAAATTATTTGCATAAAGTAATTGGTAATATTCTGTTATAATAATGTTCAGGAGATATACATCAGTATATCTAGATATAGTATATCTATTTGGTATCTAGACCCACAATCATTCTGTATCTCACTGCCGTCAAGTTGTATACAACTCATACCAACCCCTCCTTGGGTTTTCTGAGGCAGGAGCATTATGGAAGTAGATTGCCCAACCTTCCTTCCAGGGAGTGGCTGGTGG